TGCATTCCTACACATGTTAACATCATTCTTGAATGGTTGTTAGCCGAAGACTCATTTGATGAATCTGGTTTATGTATACAATTTCTGTTACATTAGGATTACAGACAAGTTCTGTTTAGAAATAACTCCAAGAACAGTCTTTGTATTTTATTTTCACGTTGAAAACCAGATTTGCTTCAGCTTCAAAGAGCATGTTTATGTAAAATTAAATTAATGCTGGCAGCAAGCCGTACTTTTTTTTCTAAACAAGAAATTGGTTAAAAACAATAAGAATTGTTAAGGAATCCCCATTTGTGGGAGGAAAACTAATTCTGAAGATAGTAGCTTCAGATAAGTTTTGTCAGAAGAGAAAAAGCTTAAGCTGAAATATAAAGAACCTGCATGATTTAGCTCATCTGGTGAAGAAGGGGGAAGAGAGCTTTGGGATAATAATATGTATAAATACCCGCAATCATAAAAGGATATTGGCACATTCCAGGAACTGGATGTAGCTTCATATAGCTGAAGAGGGGTAAGGGTGTGCAAGATAACCAAGGTTTTTGGATGCTAAGTGAAGGAATTTAAACTCTTTCTAGGCAGAGCATAACATGATCAGTTGCATCTTCATTTTCAAAGTCCCTTCTAGGAGAAGGTAAACATGTGTACAGTCCATTATGACATATAATAAAGGACTTGAGCCAAGACAAGCATTATGTTCTCATGTAATTGGTATTGAATAGTTGCTTGTTGAATGAATAAGATAATGAATAACATAGTTTAATGTTGATAGTTGCCACATGTGTATATATAGCTCTAGGGACAAAGCACAAATTTAGTAATTTCTTGAAAGCAGGGACTTAAGAGTGTTGACATAATCAAAACTATACCTAAGAAAAATCGTTCTGGCTGGAATGTGCAAGGTGAACTAAAGAAAGGAACAGACTGGAGCACACTGTAGCATCTGATATAGGATGCTTAAAAGGGCATGAAGAAGAGAGAGTACATTTAAAAGGAATGTTGATTTTATTATAAAAATATTAAGAGAATTAGAGTTCTTTTTAGACAGGGATGAAGTGTTAAAGAATTTTTTCTTTTTAAGAAGGGCTTGGCATGGCTATATCCTAGAGAGAAGGAATTGCATGGAAGAATGTAATAAAAATGTAGGAGGAGAAGGAGAAGGTAAAGAATGGGATCTGGAGTTTTAGAGTCTGCATTCACTAGCTCTGTGATTGGAGCCAGTCACATGAACTCCTTGAACTTCAATTTATTCACTTATAAAATTGAGATAATTTTTATCCTCTGCAATTATTCTAAGGATTAGAAAAAATTATGTAGAGCACTTAGAATAAGTAGGCACTCCACAGAAGTTGATATAGCTATTTTACAACTATTTTATTTTAAGAGTGTGACTTTCAGATAAAAGACAATAAAAGGGTGGAGAAAAGTTGGGGTGGCAGGGATGGAAAAATTAAGTGAGTTTGCACCTGAGTCCTGAGATAGGGATTTGAAAATTAAGCGAGTCCTGAAATAGAGACTTGAAAGACAGTGGAAAAGTTTACAATAGCTTTAGTGACCATTCAGAGGAGGAAAATGACCAACGAAGGCATCCAAAGGAATTTCTGATTGGTTTGAGAGATCAGAGGAGAGAATCTCAAAGTACTGCCCATTCCTTTAGCATAAAATAAAAAAATAATGGAAGCGTTGGAATCACTCTTTACCATTTTCTTGACGTATCTTCTCCTACACTAGAATTGTTTTACACTTTTTCTTAAATATTTAAAAAGCTGCCCCTCAAAGCCCTTTTTAAATTGCTATTGAGAGAAAACTGTAATAGTAGAAATGGGAGATGGGCCATAAGAAGAGGGCATATTAATAGGTGTATGGAGGAAAGAGTCTTCTCTTTTGAAACATTTTATACTTGGTTTCTAATTCTAAGATTTTTCCAATTTTTTATTATGCTAATAATAAGCATTATGAATCTAAAGATGGCTGATTAAGTATTTGATGTTTCCCCCAAATTTTTGGCCACAGAATTTTGTTTTGTACAGGCATTCCTAGGGACACAGTTTTGGAGAGGCTTGGTCTCCTAAGTATGTCTCACATGTATGACTTTCTTTTTCCTAGATACCACAATCTTCAAGATAATAGGTCATATCTCCCAAAGTTCTCCATATGTGTCCATTACTGATCCATTCTTCCTGTTGGTAAGATTAAATTCAAGCAATCCCTTAGTTCCTCTAGTTATAGTTTTCAACCAGGGGTGGTCTTTCCACATTTGAAAATATGTGGAGGTGTGCCACTGGCTACCAGGGAGGTTAATTGCTCTGCAGTGAGCCAGACATGAAGATTTACTCCATGTTTCTCTACGATATAATAATGTCAGAAAGCAAGTCAAGAGATTTTCAAATGCTGAATTACCAGTTGAACAAGACTTCTGCACATCTTAGTTCAAGTCATTTATCATTCTTATATCTTATCTCTGTGGTGGTTTATGAGCTGTTCAAAAAGATAACACCCACTTTCTCCACTGGACCACACAACCTATGTATAGTATACCTCTGCAAAGATACTGAATATCAAAAATATTAAAAAGTAGCTTTCTGACCTAAGTGCTATCTACTCAGTCTACTTGCTCCATATCCATACCCTGGCCTGCCATGAGCTTCTAAGGACCTATTTTTGAGAACCGTCAGGTATAATTATTTCCCCCACTTTACCGAAGAGGAAATGAGACTTATAGAGGTTCAGTAAATTGACTCCTCAAGGTCACAGTGATAGCATATTTAGCTTCAAATTCAAACATTCTGGCTCTAAAACTCAGTTGGTTAACCATTACTCAAAAATGCCCAAGTCAGTACTTCATTACATTTTTCAATCATATTTGGTTCCTTTTATATAATTGTGGAATGCATCCTAATAATTTTCTGGGCTACTCTGTTCTATTTTCAGATTAAAGACTCACTGTATATGTTAGAACGAACATGTCTTATCTTTTTTGCATCCAATCGCTAAAACAAAGCAATTGTTCTAGAAACTCACTCCCCAGTGTCTCTCTTGATTTTAAATTTAATAATTCTATTTAGATTTTTATTCTAAAAATATATCACTTTTGTCAAAAATTTTGACGGAGACCTAAACCTAGACAGAAATTGAAAGGGCCTACAGGGAGGAGCTCTCACACCCTACGATGTTGGGAATGCCCTATAGGAAGAACTCTTTTTTTTTTCCCTCTCTGTAAAGTACTTCCTCTATCTTTGTTCAGGCAGAACCTCTGGATGGCTTGCCATGGCTACCCATACAGGATTGCAATCCTTTCTTTTTCCCATGTAAATCCTTTTTGGTGATGGAATACCTAGTCAACTTTTGTTTTATGGTCAGTACTTTTAATTATGTCATAGCAAAACCAGATTCAGTTTCTTTTTGTTGTTTTTAAATTTGTCTTCACAGGCAAGTGAAATTAGATGGCATAAGTGATATCAACTGGTCTTTGGCCCACTGTAGTGATCTGTAAAACCCATAAATTAAGAACTTGTGTTGTAAAGTCTTCTGTGCCCAAAATTCCCTTCTCATAATTTCATTGGCAATAGTTTAAGGAAAAGCAAATTTTTTTTTTTCGTTTGAGGTAAAACTCGGAGTTTGTCCACTAATATTAGGAGGTGAACCAATTAGGACTGTTTTAGATCCTCCTGGTCTCTAAGCATATCATATAAACATATTCATATACGGTTATATATAACTCTTGAGATGAATTGCAGTTGACAAAATGTAATACTTTTAACAGAAAAATATCAGTTAAATATATGTTAATATCTATTAGTGTTTTGGAGTTCATTCATTTTCCCCCCAGGCATAAACATATTGCTTGGCCTCTAAAAGCTTGCAGGCCTGGAGGCACCACTTCTCTAATGCTTAAGGGCTACATGTCCCTGCAGCTAATTTGAAAGGCAAATTACTACCTCAGTCCTTCTGGTAAAATTTTAAGAACTGTTTATTCTGTATTCTCCTCTTTCTTAATGGGTTTAATAAAGTTTCGGATCTTTAGCTAAGACTACAGGAACAGAAATATCCCCTAATAGTCCTAGAAAATAGTCACAACAGTAAATAGGCCAAGTCTGTATTGTTTAGGGAACAAGGAGAGTTTTGTTGTTTGTTTTAAGGAGTGATCCTTGTAAGAGTAGAGCTCTGGGTGCAGGTGAGTGGTCAATAGCAACAGGAGACTCTTCCCTTTTTCCTACAAGAACGCTGCTGTCAATTGTGTGACAATGAGGTCATTTTGTGTAGGGATTTGAGGCTCCAGTAAGCTTTTCAAAGCCACCCTATCCTATCTGTTTCATCAGGGAGTGTTTCAATGAATACTTCAAAAGAAGATAATAATGCTTGAAAAAAGCTCAAATACTGCCAGAGTTCTGCTTAGTGATCCTCATTACAGTAGTTTGCTATTAAGAAAAACATAACCCTCACTCCTGTTTCAACCACCACAATTACTGGGTCATCATGTAGTTCATTGTATATTAAAAGACAGCCTGCCCTCGGTTAATGAGAATCCAAGTTGCAAATTTGTCAGCTTCGGCCAGTTTTTATAAGAACTCTCCACGTTGTCGCTAGCGTTTATCAGCACCTCCCTCAGGAAAAAGGGTGGTGGAGAGGTAGGGTTAGGGGTACAGGCCGAAGTTGAAAGGAGGCTATTTGTGTGGCCTATTAACAAGTTACTAGGTTTCAACACCAAACCAGCCTTTCTCCACGACTCCCGCGAACCTCCGGCCCGAGGTCACTCAGACGCCCGGGTGGCTCACAGGAATCAGATGGCACCTAACCCAGGGCCGGACTCGGGAATTTCGTCGGCAGGGACGATACCACGCGGAAACACCCACCCCGGCATCACTCCAAAATCAGCATTGCGAAGGGCGGTCCTGCCGACGCTCGGGGCATCGCCTCCACTGTCAGCCAATGAGGAGCGGGGGCCGCGTCGGAGTTTTCGCTCATTGGGTCGTGCTGGCTCCGCCCCACAGTGAAAGCAACCCTCCCAGCCTGCTAATAAAGTTTCAGCCACCGAGGTGTGGAATCCGGCATTTGCGTGCTCCCTGCTGGTCACCCGGCTTTCCTTTGGCTTTCTTTCGCCTGATTATTCTGTGTCTCTTTCAAGCCTCCACGCGCCGGTTTCTTACTTTCATCTTCCTCGCTCTTTCCACCTTTCCCAGCTCAGTATGCAGGAAAAAGACGTTTCCCCACGCGGTTTCCTGCCTAGCTTCCAACATTTCGCTACGCAGGCCATTCATGTGGGCCAGGAACCAGAGCAATGGACCTCCCAGGCTGTAGTGCCCCCCATCTCACTGTCCACCACGTTCAAGCAAAGGGCTCCTGGCCAGCACTCGGTAAGCTGGGTCTGTCTCGGGCGGTCCAGGGATGGGCGGGTAAAGAGAGATGGTTTACAAGTTAAAAAGGCACCCAAGTAATTTATAGGGTGGCTTATACATCAGAGAGGCAGCCGGAAAGGATGTTTACTACACCTGTAATCCTCCCTGCAGTAAACCATTGTATTGGATGGTCCAGTGATCATATTTCTTTTGATGAGCAGGATTAGAAGGAACAGTTTGTCCAACTTGTCGTCTAGATTTGGACTGAAATTCATGTGATTTTGGCAAATATGCAGTTCAAAACTGAGGGTCAATAACTTCCTTCAGCATCAACAATGATAAAGGTATAATGAGTCAGCTAAAAAAAATTAAGAATTTTATTAACTCACCTAGAATCAAGATCATTCCTAATAGCTGTATTCAATTATTAATGGGTATTGAGGACTTAATATGTGCTGAATATATACCTATATTTGTTATATCATGTGTATTACATGTATTGTCTCAGATAATCCTGACAACCCTAGTCTGAATTAGGTTCTCATTTTTCTCATGAAAAAACTGAGAATTAGGAATAAGTAATCAGCCAAAGGCCACAGAGTTAATAAGAGGTGGAGCTGGAATTCTAGCCCTGCTCTAGAACCCCACTATTAGGCATTAGGCTACTGTATTCCAATAACGCTACAATAATCTAACCCATTGCATCATTTAAGCAGTGTGCCTTAGTGTTTAGGAGCACTAATCATGTAGTCAGAGAACCTAGGTTTGAATTCTTAACACCACCTCTTTTGAACTGGGTAAACTTGAGCAAAGTTACTTAATCTATTCAAGCCTCAGGCTGATCCTGTGTAAATGGAGTTAATAATTACCTACCACATAAGTTGTTGGTATGTATGTTAAACTGTATGGTATACTATAATTGCTCAGTAGTTTGGTATTTCACGATGTTCACATTTACTTTTTTTTTTTTTTTCATTTTACCTTCACAACAACCAGGTAAGAGAGCAGGACAGGTATTATGCAGTTTCTGTAGAAAAGGAATGACACAGAATCATTGATAAAGGACATGTAAGGCTTCTGAAAGAGCCCTCTTGGTTAATCACATAGCTTTTTCCCTTTTGGTAGCATACTTGATGGATCTTAGAGTATTTAAAAGTTGCCGAGGATGAGAAAAAAATAGTTAAATGAATTTTGTAGGTCCAAAACCTTGATTATACTTCAAAATCCTCTTTAGTGTGTTATGTTAAGTTGAGGAAAATTCTTTTAGATTTAACCAACCTCTTGTTTTGTGAGGTAGATTTCTAAGGGCATTTCCACAACTGGTTTAGGATACTTCTAGCTACTATATTTTGGAATCAATATGTGAACACAATTTGTCTTCCAAGCACATGATTTGTTCTTAGTGTAGAGTTTTGTGAACGTGTAGCCACCAAAGCATTTAGTACAAATGTTAACCATTTAGCTATGACATTAATAATTAAATGTTTTCAGAGAACCAGCAGGGATAGTAAATTCCACAAACTCCTCTAAATGCCAATAAAAAATCAGAGCACTAAAGAGAATTTGAGAAGCTGAATGAGACACATCTAATTCTCTAGTTCCATTTGGAAAGCTATTGAATGGGTGAGAGGGTGGGAAATTGCCTCTGAAATATGCTTCTTTTCCTACTGATCTACTGAAGTTAAATCTCTTCAGTGAATATTTATAGAAACAGTGGTACTTTTCTGTGGCAGTGGTAGTAGCCACATGAATCCAAACTTTTTTTTCTGTCTGGTGATTACAGCTGCAGGTCACATCAAGTAGGTGATAATAGGGAGGGTAAAGAATATCTGGAGCCCTATAAAATATATCCATTCAATTTGTCAAAAACAAGAAAACAAACAAAGCAACAAAACTTAAAAATATGTATTACTGATACTGGGAGCTCTAGAATCAGAAATAAAGGTGTAAAGTGATTGTGTTTTATTATATGCTATAGGGGGCAGGAGAGAAAATTATAGGATTTTCATCAGTGTTTAAAACCTGGGCTTGAATTCTGACACTGATGCTCCCTGTAATATTTGGCTTCACTTTCCTCAAAGCTGATCATGAGGCTTAAATAAAATAGCTGGATGAATACAGATTGTATGGTGCCATATGCAGAAAAGGAACATAATGCAAAATTTTAAAAAGTATTGTGTGGAGCTACTCTGCCAGGAATTACTCTCTATTTTTTGTCACTTTCATAGAGTTAAGATCTGATCCTTGAGCATTTGTAGGACCTGTTCATAGCTTCCTGTCGGATGCTAAACAGAACTTGAATCACTTACTTCTTTGGAAATGAAATACAGGTTAGAATTAGGTTTACTCTGTTGGCTCAGGTTATTTCCTTTTCCTGATGTCCCCAGATTAATAAGTAAAGGTAAGCCTAACATAATAATAGTGCTAATAATAAAAACAGCCTTTTATCTATTACTTAGCATGAACCAAGCATCATGGAGATGGTTTATTATACATGATCTATTTTTTTCCTCACAACAATTCTATGAATTAGATATGTCTATTTTATTTCCATTTACAGAAATTGAGATTACTCCAGGAAATGTTAAGCAACTTAACCTTGACATGTAACTCATAAGTGGCAGATAAAGAATTCTAATCCAGTTTGGTTGACTTCAGATCCTCTCCACACCACTACAGTCATAGCACTGTTATGCTTCTAATGGCAAGACATGTCATAATAAATAAAAAATCGTTATAGAAGGATGAACCAATAGTCATGGAGTTTTCTATGTTAGGACTCTGATAATAAACTTAAATCTTTTGGGATGAACTCTGACTTCTTTTCTTCAGGGTTTCGAATATAGCCGTTCTGGAAACCCCACCAGGAATTGCTTGGAAAAAGCAGTGGCAGCACTGGATGGAGCTAATTATAGTAAGTGATTTCCATTTCAAAGTTTGTGAAGGCTAGAATCTATTTTTATATGTACAGAGAAAATTATAGAGGCACAGAATGTAGACTTGGAATGAAATAAGGATTACCTAGTTCAAAACTCTTATTTTACTAAAACATTGAATTATTTGCCCAAGGTGCCACAGGTGGTAGACTATGCATATGTATGATTATTAGGTAAAAATAAATATGAATAGAGGCAAAATGGCAGAATTTGCCATTTGTTACTCATGTAAATGCACTCTTTATCTGAAGCTGTCAGTATAAATAGATAATAATTAAGTTTTATAACACTACCTATGATAAAATAAGCTTTCTTATACTCTGGTTCATTCATCTGATAATTTGTGTCTGAAAATAGCAGCAAGGGACACTTGCAGTAGGCAGGTGTCATTGATAATGTGCTCTCAGAGGTTAGGGATTAATTCCTTGAATCTTGTGTTTTTGTTTTGTTTTTATGAAGGAGATGGATTGCTGCTAAATTATCTTTGTATTTTTTTTTTTTATACAAGTAATACTGAATGAGGACAGAGTAGTGAATAGAAAATAAGAGTCATGAGTTTTCTCACAGCAAGAGTATAGGAACTAGAAATGTTAATAAAGTGAATGTTGGGTTTGTTTGGGATTTGGTGCGGAAGGGTTGATTTTGTTCTGGATGAGATTAAACACCAAACTGCTGAAATTTAGTACTGTATGGAGAACATTATTTCCTGCAGGAGGTATAAAGGCTGAGAGTTTGTATGTCAGACACTTTTCAAATGGAGTCCAGAAAACATTGTTTTTAACTAGGTTTTAAAATTTAGCCTTCTATATGAATCCATTGTTGGACCACAGATCTGCTTAGTAGAGAACTGTTATCCTAACCTAAACTTTTCTGAGACAATTTCATGATAATTTTTATTTTTCAAGTTAATTAGATTATCCCTTCTGCCAGTCATGGGTGGTTTTTATCATCAAAGTGATATTTTGTCAGGACATTTTCTTTTACAGTGTTTAATGTGCACAATATCAGTTATTTTTTTTTTTATTATTATTCATTTGTATTATGTTTGTTCAACATGAGATCACATTTGTTTAAAAGAGATTCCACATTAAAAAATTTTTTTTAAATTCAATTTATTAAGTTTATCAGACACATCTTAGGTCTCATTCCAAATTTTGTTATTTGCTCAGTTGCATAACCATATAGTTAATGAATCATATCTTAGCTCCATTCCTCGAGTTTTAAATTTCTTTAGAGTTTGATATTTTTCAACTGTAATTTAATTGGCAGTGGCCTTTTATCCTAGAATTTTATAAAGAATTATTTCCTCAAAGTGTTTCAGAGAAATGTTATAAGCAAAGCAGAATTATATATTTTTTATTTTAAAGATATTTTATCTTTGAAATGGAAAGAGAGATTTCGTAATGGTATTAATCAGGAGACTGCTGGTTACTCAGCAGTGATGACTGTCTTATCAGCAGAGAGAGGGACATAAAGTAATGCAAGTAAATACTGCAGGTATTTTTAACCTATCGGGCTTACTCTAACTTTTTTTTTTTTTTTTTTTAGGTTTGGCCTTTGCTTCAGGTTTAGCTGCTACTGTGACTATTACCCATCTCTTAAAAGCAGGAGATCAAATTATTTGTATGGATGATGTGTATGGAGGTAAGTGTCCTGTCATATTTTGTGTTGCATCAGCGGATATTTAAAGATAATAAAGTAGGTTCTGAATTATGTTAACAATGTTGCCAAGATTATCGGTTATTTATTATCTTTCAAAGGTGTAATGGACACCTCTATGCTGGCTCAGGCTTGGTAAAGAAGAAGCATAAATACTTGGGTTCATGTTCTGGAACTGCTTATAAGAGAGACAGTTTAGTAATAATTTTATTGAAGCTGCTGAGAATGCAGAATTATTAACCCCATTTACACATGAGAATGTAGGACTTGAACAACTTTTAGACGTATTCTACTGTAGAGAAGACAATGTTTACTAGTGTAATTTAAAATTTTTACCTGCAGTGAAGATGATCTCTAACACCCTCAAAGAGCTTAACTCTACCCATCCTTTTATTCTCTCTCACTTTTGTAGTTTAGCCTTCTGTATGAATTTAAATTCCCTTTTGATTTTAGGGAAGCTTTTGAAAATCTGTTGAATGCCAGGGACCCCTTTCTCGAAAAGTGTTCTTGAGACAACACCCAATATTTATCATTTAAATTTTAGGGTCAAGGGGTCTCACTGCTCAAAGCCCTGTCCATGGATCTAAATTTAAGAACTTTAATTCTAAAGAGTTTAAATGCTAGTTATTTAAAGTGGCAAGTAGAAAGGTAAAGAAGACAGATTGCCCTTACCGTTAAGCAAGACTAATTTTTGAGTTCAAAACAACAGCAAATTTTGTAAATATGCTATGTATTACAAATGCTTACAAATGATAATAATATTCTAGAAGTGTGACTTCTAGAATATTATTATCATTTTTATTTATCTCTTTTCTGAACAGAAAGTCAAGTCTAAATTATTTGAAGGAAGGGACTCCCTCTCAGAAATTTACAAAGTGCTATATAATTTATCTTAGGTCTCTATGATAGACCATAGTATGATAAAATCTCAAAACTTTAATTACTTTTATAAAGCATTATTAAGACCTCATGGCAATATAGCACAAAAGCTTGAAAATTTCTGTTAATTTTTAACAATTATTTATATTATTTTTCAAACTTATAATACCTATCATTAGTCTACATAGCATCAAAAGTCCATGATATTTTTGAACATAGAGTATGTGTCCTCTTGTTGTTATTGTTGACTATCAGTAACAGCAGTGACAATTTTTTCTTTAAATCTGCATATGTAAAAATCAAATCCAGAACAGTGTTTATAAATGAAATTATCCTAAATTGAATGATTTATTTTCTTTCACTATGAAACTCTAGTCGTTTGATTTACAATGTCTCATTTATTTATTAAAGCCTTTAGAACCACATAACAAAGAGATTGCAAAAGTACAAAGAATAATAACCAATTCTTTCCTATTACTAAAGTATAATCAGATTGAAAATTTATTTTGAACATTTCATTGACATTGGTTTATTTATTTTAGATTTGAATACTAGGAAGAAATTGTTTAAAAAGACATTGTTTCAGGGAGCATGCCACTTAATGTTTGAAGAGTAGAGATTGTGTGTTTTGAGAAACATTCTCTACTTCATGCCACTTGGTGTGGATATCAAGTGTGTTTTATTTGACTCTTTAACTTGTAATTTAAAATCCAAGCTTTATATTCTTCACTATACATGATAACCAAATTATTTAACCGAAGTAGAATTGGTTTTAGTTGTATTTTTATTGGTGATTGACACTTCCTTATATAAGTGTTCATACCTACAAGGAATGAACATTTCTTAATAAAATATTCTTTCCACTTTATCTGATTCTCCTCTGTCTCAGGTACAAACAGGTATTTCAGGCAGGTGGCATCTGAATTTGGATTAAAGATTTCTTTTGTTGATTGTTCCAAAACTAAACTACTAGAGGCAGCCATTACACCAGAAACCAAGGTAACTGTTTTCGGTTTTATTTTTTTTCCCCTGTCATGTTTTGTTTTTATTATTTCTGTTTATTAGGGAACATAATTTAAATCTGAATAGTAAATTTTATTGGAAGCCATTGGAAAGCAACAATAGGAGTAAGATAGGTCTGGTGTCTCTTAGATATTGTAGCATAATGATTAGGTACATGAATTCTGGAGTGGTATTCAAATTCTAATTCTGTATCATAGTTGGTATGTAATTACAGGCAAATTCTTTAACCAAAGTCTCAATTTCTTCATCTGCAAAATGGGGATAATCGTACTTGCTTTATAGAAGGGTGGTTGTATGAATTAAATGATCTAAAGCACATGAAATGCTTAGTACTGTACCCAGTTCATGGTAACTATTAAAACAATTTGTTAGCAAAAGCACACAATTCTTAACTGCATTCCTAAGCTAGTCATCACAGAAATTGAGTTACAGAAAAGGAAGCTTACCAAGGCCCTTAAACCCTTAGCATAGTGGCTTTTTAAGGGTTCTAAGGAACACATCAGCAAAATAATAGAAGTAGGGAATGGAAGGGCCACAGACAATCTTTAGCCTCCGTCCTGGGAAGCTTGTATGCCCAAGAAGGTTTTGAGTAAATGGCATATGCAATATTATTTTTGGGGACCTCATTTAAATTCTACATGGGTAAAAGAAGGACCACTGTCTTTTATAAGTCAATCTTTTCTGATTTTTTGCTAATGGTTAAAAGGTTTGAATTGTATTTAGGATTATATTGCAGTGACTGCTAAAGAAATGAAAATCATTTCTCACACAAATAATTACTTTGAATATTAACACCAGGTGAGCTTTGAATGATTAAGGTTTATAGTCAAAGGAACTTGCTTGGGAAAAAAGATACTTATTAAAATAGCTCATCTGAGTCTTTCTAAGGGAGGAAAGCAAATTATGAGTATATTAATTCTTGTCAACAGAACTTTATATAGTGGCTCTTTACTGACTAAAATTAATACATTTCCCCCACCCCCGAACTATCTGCCTCATCATTTGAAGATTTTTTTGCATGTAAAATCTACTTTGTATTTATTTACTTTTTTTATTTTATTTTTTTTATAATGAGTGAGAGTAAAAAATTTTTGCCCAGGAATAATTCTTATAGATTTTTAAAAATAATTCAATTCTGGTAGACTATGCATTATTTTAACTACTTTATCTTTTCTACAGTAAAATTCTAGAGTAGGAAAGAGTATTAAACCAGATCTCTTGCCTATTTATGTAGGTCATAAAAAAAGTACTATTAACCCATTTAAAAAGAAAGCAGTAGATAATGTCATTCAATACTGTGGCACCTTGTTTAACAAATAACATTCTCTCCTTTTTTTGACCTTTTCAATAACAATCAAGCATCCACTATGTACCTGCTAGGTTTTGGAATATACAGATAAATATGCTATTATATCTGAGTGAGCTGTAGCCAGGTTTTCTGTTGTGTGTGTGTGTCACTTCTCTTCTTCAAGTACTGGATACTTATTTTAAAGTTTTTAATGCACGTGGCATTATTTAAGTTAATGTTAAGGATATTTTTGGCATTATAGAGAGGGTTCTCTTTAATGAAAATTCTAGGATGTAACCTTAAACAATCTGTTATCTTTCAGAACAAAATTCCCAGACACTGAATTATGTCTTCAGAATACACCCTCTTTTTTATGAAAAGTAATTATGATAGTTAACTTTCATACTTCTCAGCTTATACGTGTATTATCTCATTTGATCCTTACAACAGTTAACTCTATCAGGTAAATATTACAAATGCCATTATATAGATAAAGAATTTGAGGAATGGAGAGAGTAAGTTACTTAGCTACGACCACTCAGAAATTTTGGGGGGCTAGGATTCAGATGCAAACCTTTTAACTTAATTATCCATGCTCTTCTACTGTAGAGTCACTGATGGTTACAATATATGGGATGTATGTTTTTGCAGTGTATTTTTATAAATTATTGTCATTTACTGAATTGTTTTAGCTCGTTTGGATTGAAACCCCCACAAACCCTATCTTGAAGATGATTGACATTGAAGCTTGTGCACATACTGTCCATAAACATGGAGACATTATTTTGGTTGTGGATAATACTTTTATGTCAGCATACTTCCAGGTAAATGAAAATATATATATTTTTGGTATGCTTAATAGACTACACAGACACCTATAATTGGGTTGAGAAAATAATAACTAATATTAGAAAAGGTATAATTATAATTCTTGGTCTAATCAATAATTATGATTAGATTTTATGAGTTTGAAAATGATTTTAATGTAAACAAGTTCTTCTTTTCCTTAGATTGATATCTTGTATGGGACTTTTTGTGTTTTAAATTCAAGTTTTTAGGTTTTCTTAGGATGAGTAAACTCTGAAGATGTGACCTTATTTTGTGATTGTATCTGTCAGTGCTTTGTACGTAGTAGGGACTTGAATATTTATGTGCAGGTTCAAATTGGTAATATTATTTTTCAGTCACACCTCATTTACTTAAGCCTTTATATATTCGTATACACACATATGTATATAGACCAACCTTCCAAATAAAAGGAAAGAAAAGCTGCACTCAGTGACATCTCACATATTATGTGTGTCACACATATTATTTATTCATTTCTCTTCTTTCTAGTTTCTCTTCCCTCAAACCCATAGATTATGCCTAGCCCTCTATATCTCTACTTTATTTGCATGATGAATTTCTACTTCATGTTTCACATTGTAGCTATAGCTATTTATAGTGCTCCTTTTAAATTATCTATTTTTTAACCTACCATATACATAACATCTCTCCCTCTACCTAAACCTTCCCACTTGTCATTCATTCCTTTCCTTTTTTTTCTCCTGCCTTTTTCTAGATTCTTCTTCCTTTTTGTTTTGGTTTGCTCTTTTTGTCAGATCATCTTAGGATCTCTATTATTAACTAGTTGGCTGACTTTTTCTTGCTTGTTCTCCCTCGCTTTCCTATGAGTAACTTAACTCTGTTTCCTTTTCTTATTAGGAGTTACCTTCTCCCTGTTCTTTCCTTCCACCCTATACCTTGTGGTCATTCTTATTACACCTCCTGTAGTTCACCTTTATTATGCAGAGTTACTGAAACCCTAGTCCATTTTCTTCAGCTCTTCAATTAGGCTGATGTTTACAAGCTCAGTTGTTTACATTTCCACCTTTCTGGGTCCCTGAAGTTGGGCCAGGCTTCTGCCTTCATGTAGCTGGCTGACTCCCTGGGCAATATGAATAAGCCTGTTCTTCACCTTCCTTCATTTTATTCAGAAGACCCTACCATGTTTTATGTGTAGTCTATGCTTAATAGACTACACAGACACCTTTTGTGAAACACACTTCTTGGCTAAATAGCCTTCAAATAGTTTCATGAACCATTTACCTTTGACTCATGATATACAGCTGTCCCTTAGTATCCAAGGGGATTGATTCCAAGACACCCTGTTGATAACAAAATCCACAGTTGCTCAAATCCCTTATAGAAAATGGCAGAATATTTGCATTTAACCCATACGCATCTTCCTATATATTTTAAGTCCTCTCTAGATCACTTATAATACCTAATACAATATAAATGCTACATAAATAGTTGTTATACTGTATTAAGGGAATAATGACAAAAAAATTCTATACACTTTCAGTACCATCTTAGGCCTAATTACATAGTACAAATACAAATATTTTCATTTGTGGTTGGCTGAACCCATGGATGTGGAATTGCAGATATGGAGGGCTGAATGTATCTTTAGCTGCTGCTTGTCTCTTCCTGTAGCAGAAAAACTGGTAAAGCAGTTCGTTTCTAAATGAAAATCTTCTGGCATTATTTATTTGTCCCAGGTGATCTTCATTCTTAGATTCTTTATCCCAACTCCTTAACCCATACACCACTTACAGTAAGCCAGTTATACAGCATAGGATTGGTCTGGCTGAGTCACAGTGAATCCTGTACATTCCCAAAGAGATGGTGTGAATTGTTTTAGCCTGGGCCTGCCCAGGTTACTCATTAGGCCTGGCTCTCTTTCTCCAATTACCTTCACTAAAATAGGTCCAGTTTTTCTACCTTTCTGAAGCCCACATTACATTACTCATGCCAGGACGGTAATTTGCTTCATTTCAATCTGGATTCAGTCCAGTCGAATTAATCAGAATCACATTGTTCCTAGGCAAACACATGGATTGGTTCACAAAGCAGATCTGAAAAGGTCCTCTCATTGTTTGATCCTCAAGAAAATGATATGTTCTTTTTCTTGCCTGACTTTTGTTGTCTGGATCTTCTGTGCATCTCACGAAAGGCAAAATGGACAGACATGTCAGCACAAAGTTTCAGAGTAGAGCCTCTGCATTCAGGTAGCGTGAGCTCTGGCTCTACCAGATTTTTTAATCTGAGTAATCCGTTTTATTTTTCTTAGTCCCTTTTCCTCTTCTTTTGAATTATGTGGAATATTGTGCACAGTGTTTTACTGGGTTATATAAAATATTTAACATGGTTCTTGGCACATAATGAGATCAACAGATATTAGTTATTGGTTTTTCTTTCAAACAAAGAATTTACAGAATGTTAGTCCTAGAAAAGACCTTAGACATCATCTAGTTTGACCACAACACTTTAGAGATAAGCAAACACATATGTAGAGCAATCTTTGAGCAATACCTTACTTACAACATCCTATTTTTGAAACAGCCTAAATGGAAAAGTCCCATAGCTTCTACACTAATACCATCTAAAGACTAAGCAATTAATGAGGTTACATACACACGCTTTATTTTAAAGAATATATAAATGGAAAGATGTTGATAATATATTGTTTAGTGAATAAATTAATTATATCAAAGACATTTTAAAGACTAAAGGATTAATTTGCAGGTGAAGGAAAACAATCTAATCAAATTTCTTTATAAATGATTTAAACTTGGCAAAACTAGTATAATTGAAGAGTAATTAAGAGTCAAGATCATGGCAAACCAAGTGAATAAGCACAGTGTATATTGTCAGGTTTAATGATTAAAAATCTCAGCATATTAGTTTTATCTTCCTTGACATGACAATCGCTGAATGTTGATGTCAGTTATTTTATGTGTTTACTAAGTCACGAAATGCCAGCATCTCTGCTGTAGGTAGTACATATAGGAGCCAGTCAGCAACTGCTCTAAAGAAACAGGTTCAAGAGACCTGTCAATCTGAGTTTATCTGTTATTTCTGGAAAAAAAAAAAAAAAGTGCCTTTGGATTGAATACTCTGTCTAATACTTTGTATTTTTATTTGGTGGGAAGGAAGAAAGGGAAAATTAATAACCAGAGATCTTGGAAAATTTTAAGAAGCATGTATCTTTGAAAAGTTAGAATAGGAAATGGTTTTTACAATAGCAAATAGGCAAGTAATGACTCATATTTTCAAGTGACTTCTTATTTAAAATAAAAACCATTTGTTCTTTTCAGCGGCCTCTTGCTCTGGGAGCTGATATTTGTATGTATTCAGCAACAAAATATATGAATGGTAAGATATGCAGAGTTTATATATAGATGAAAAATAGTATAGGGCATGACATTTTGATTCCTTTTCTTTTACTACTCAGGTTTTCTCTGTGACTCATGTAGAAAGTAAAAAATATATACTTTAATTAAATATAGGATTTAATTTATAGCAGATAAAACTACGCTCATGATTTATGAGCAGAAGATTAAAATGCATTGTTAAAGGTTATACTTTTATTCTGGTTATAGCTTAAAAAAATTTACCTTTTTATGGTTTTTATTTTATTATTTTAGGTATAGCTTTTGCTACTATCAAGTTGAATAAAGTTTATTTAAGTTAATTTTATAGGACTTTTCCTGGAGAGTCTTTTCAAGTGAAAGTCACATATTAGAAATTATAAAATGAAGAATAAACATGCATTGTTTTTAACTTAAAGGTTTTTGGTTTTGTTTTAGGACACAGCGATGTTGTAATGGGCTTAGTGTCTGTTAATTCTGAGAGTCTCAATAATAGGCTCCGTTTCTTGCAAAATTGTAAGTATTAAAAAGTCTGGATTATGCTCTCAGACTGACTACATTTAATATTTGTATTTCCACTAAATGTTGTTAAGTGATAGCATTCTATGAATTTAGAAAGAAATGAGAAATAGAGGTAAAAATTCTGATTTTTAGAGGAAAGTAGAAAAATTGAGTTATAAAAATAGTTATAGCATAACAGGGCTTTACGACATGACACACAGGACGAGTTTTGTTATTTTTTTCAAATCCATGTTAATTTTGATCATAATTTGGTAAAGTCCAAGTGAATTTTTAATTTTAAGACTTAATGGATTTTTTAAAAAATAACAAAACATTTGATATGGCTGTCTTATACTGTACTTTTTATATCTGGAATGGTGGTTAATTTTAAATAGCACTTAAGATATAAACTTATGTTTTTTTCAACAGATGTCTAAACACCATTTCCTGTTTAGATTGTTTAGTTATCTCAAGTACTATTAGGGGTTATTTGAAGAGACTTCGTAAACCATTGCAGTTTTGTAGACACGTAAGATACAAACATAATTAGGAATAAAAATGCCCTTCAAGGAAATAAGTACTAAGATAACAAAAAGGGGGCACTGAGAAGGGAAACCAAAATTTATTGCTTGATAAATTTCTTTCATTTATAAAAAGTAGGAGTAAGGTCCCTATCCTGGAGGCATATGAGGTCATAGGCTGCTTTCGACAAAAGCTAAATAAAATGCTAGTAGAGCATTCAGTAATAATAGGAACTGAACTACTTTTTTTCTCTATGTGTTGTAATAAGTTTTCAAAAAATAACAAGGTTATACTATGTGCAGTATATCATTTCATAAAGATCATAGAAAGGACTATTTATGTTCATATTTGAAAAGTTTCATTGTGTTTGTACATAGTTTTCAGGATACTTTTTTTCCTCTCATTTTAAAGCCCTTTTCTCTAAGCATATTTTCTGCTTCATTCTCATACTTCTGACTTGATATATTAATTTTCCCCCATAAAATTCAAACATTGAGCTTTGTAACTAACTTTTCAGAAACACTATGATGAAAAAGAGGGGTCAGATAATTTTCTGGGTCCTCTCTACCTTCACACTATGTTCCTTTTGCAGCTCTTGGAGCAGTTCCATCTCCTTTTGACTGTTACCTCTGCATTAGAGGTCTGAAGACTCTACAAGTTCGAATGCAGAAGCATTTCGAAAATGGAATGGCAGTTGCTCAGTTTCTGGAATCAAATCCTCTGGTAACAGAGGTTATTTATCCTGGTATGTTAATCTGATTTCTAAGCACATATTCTTGGGAATTTTAAGGGTTATCCTAAGCATCCTGTTTATGTAGCATTTACTTGTGAGTTAGATGCATTCATATATTTTTATGTTGTTCATTTGTTACTGAATGCTGCTGTGTGTCAATCTCTGTGGTGGGTCCGCTGGTATGGAAGATAGACATGGGTCTGGTCTTGTGTTAATTACAGTCTAGTGGATACTTGGATGTTAGGAAATTAGTCTTACCTATTAAATATTCCTGTTGATGGTCTTTAGCACAAAGATTTGTGTATACCAATTCCAAGATTGCAACATTGTACTTTCCACTTGATTTGCATATAATCTTGCCAGTCTGCTATTCTGCTTTAGGCATAACTTTTATTTGATTTATGCTGGGATTTGATACATATCAATTTGAGCCTTGATACTTATGCACCAAAATCTCCCCAAACTCTCTTCCTTTGTGAATTCCTTTTTGAATTACAACATCTAGAAATGCTCATGTGGAGTTAGCAGACTTACATGTTACTCTTTGAATTTATTTTACCAGTTTTTTAAATTGTGGTGGTCTTAAGTAAATTTAGTTATTTTAAAACTCTTTTGAGGTATCTAGCCATGTAGTCTTGGGTGTACAGGAAAATTAAGTCAAATCTCTACCCTCAAGGAACTTGTATAAACCACAGTAGGAATATATATGGGATTAAATGCCCTATATGTACCCTACGTAAAGAACTATTGACTGGTGTATATTTTAAATGGAGAGAGGAAGAAACATTTAGGGTTTTGCTCTGAAGAATGGCATTTGTTAAAAGGATAAGGCATTTCAGATTCATTTAACAAATGTTTATTAATTTCCGTCTATGGACCTAGCTTTGTTCTAGGAATTAGAATCTAATTATCAACAAAAGAAACAGATTTCCCTTCATGTAACTAGTCTGGTGAATAAGACAGATATTAAGCAAGAAATTACAGAAGGACATAATTAAAAGGGAAGGACAGTCAGTGAGGAGAATGTCCCAGGTTAAAGGGACAGCAGCTGCAAATGTTCTGAGATGAAAGGAGCGTGGTAACTGCTGGTGTTAAGAAAGCTCGTATGGCTAGAGCATGGAGAGCGTAGAAAAGACAGATCATGATGAAGCTACACAGATAAGAGTCTGAGGCCAGAACAAGTAGCCAGTTGTGACCATGACGTAAAGCTCATTAGGCTTATTTGCAGTTTACTTAAGCAAAAAGTGAATTTTTTTTTGTTGTGCAATTACATATTTGACTCTAAAATAAGACTTTTATTGTAACTCGTGATTGCAGGGCTGCCCTCTCATCCTCAGCATGAGCTGGCAAAGCGTCAGTGCACAGGTTGCCCAGGAATGATCACCTTTTATATTAAGGGTACTCTCCAGCATGCTGAGACCTTCCTCAAGAACCTAAAGGTAAACTTGCAAATAGGCTTTTAAATTGTAGAAGTAAGACCTTCTTACAGCAATTTATTATATCTCACTTCCACCCAACTCAGATTAATGTTTTTGGTACCTGTAGGTCACACCCACAAACCTTATTATGAAATGAATTGGGTTGGAAAATGATCTTGGTGCCGTAGCAAGTGTCTAAATAAATTTATTTACTTAACTCTGCAGATACTGTGCCATCAATTTGAGAGAGACAGAATGTTGTAGTGCCTTGGTTTTCAAATTTATTTAAAAGTAAGCCCCCTTTCCAAATGAAATATTGTGTGAAACTTCAAAGTAGTGTGCAGTTAGTGCAATGCACAAAGGCCTCTTTGAAATCCATCCCAGGTCTGTCTTTCCTAACTCTGTGCCTCCCAGGCAACATCTGCCTGGGATGAGGGAAGGGAGGCCTTTGTCTAAATTTCACAGAAGGGAGAAGCTCTCAGAGGTCCTGAGAGAGAGAGCTCTGTAACTTCTGCACTGGACCTACATTGAACTCGTGCAATAGACTAAGTTTTAAATACTGTGGGTCTAAAGAATAAGACCCTATATGTAAAATGTGTCCACCTCCAAAATCAGAAAGATATTAGTTCATATTTAATTTAATATAGTTGTGAGAGTAATTTTAAAAAGGTATTTATAAAATTCTATGATACTATAACACTAAATAAAAAAACTAAGTTCTTTTTTCCTTCTATTCCAGGAGGGAGTTGAATAGATGTATTAATTTAATAAGTGATGCATATTAACAAACTAGTGTAAAGGCATTTAGAGATTTTTATTTAAAGGGTAACCACAGAGCTAGGTCTCAAATATAATACTTCTGATATTTTAGAGCTCATGTTAAGTATTATTTAAGTATAGGGCCAAATTAGGAACATATAGGAGGTATGCATAATTCGCCTTTATCAACTTTTAATTTTTAAAAAATTTACACATAATATATGTCTCATTAATGAAATCATTGTTATAGATTTTCTTTTCATTTTTTTCTCCTACTTTCTTGCCTAATTTACAATTTATTCATAATCACCACTATTTTCCATCCTTTGTCCTAGGGCCATTTTATTAAAAGCATTTATTTTTAGGTTTTTGTATTTTTATTTTAATGGAAGATCTAAATTAATATCTCATTTACTTTAGTTATTTACACTCGCTGAGAGCTTGGGGGGATATGAGAGTCTTGCTGAGCTTCCGTAAGTATATTTTTGTTTTTCTCAGTATTTTAAGTTTGATATCAGCTTTAATGATCATTTGGAAAAGGAGTGTGTTAAAATCAGGAATAATTCAAGATGTTTAATGATAAGAACAGCATGGCACTGTCTAATCAGAAGGGACTCTAACTCAATAGAATGGAGACAGTGATAAAATCTAATGTCTCTTTATGGGCTGCTTATCCTTACTCTACCCTGTTCTGCCAGAAGGAGATTCCAGCAGTAATTGTATGGTAGTAGGCTTTCTGGCCTTTGGCCCAGGGTCACCTGTACTATCTCACTCTGCCCAGGATGAGAGGTTGAGACTTTGTACTTGAAGAGCTGATTTCATGACTTCCTGGTGAAATATCTCCACACCTTGATTGTCAGAGGAAGGCCCCAACTAGATCCCATCAAATATGTTTATTTTCTGTTCAACCTCAGGTAAACCCCAAACCTAACTTGTTATTCCTGGACCTTCACTGTCTGATCCAGTCAGTTCATTTAATTTTATCAGAGTGCCAGAGATTATGAGAATATGAAGGAGCCTAAGATTAGGCAGTCCAACAAGTTATTTTACAGACAAGCAAAGATTCAGAAAGCTTTGCTGATGACTCAAATGTCATGTGGGAATATGTTAGCACCTTCACTCTCTAGATTGTACAATGAAGGCAGATAAAAGCATCCTGGATCTGGACTTGAGACCTATTCTGCCATTTAACCTTTGAGCTTCAATTTTTTTCATCCATAAAGTGGACTTAATAATTAAAATAATCATTATCATTTATTGATTACCTGTCCCACCAAGCATTCCTGAACTATATCTTGACTTTATTGTGTGTTACTATGACCATATATTGTAATAATTCTAGGGGTCAATCAACATCATTACCTAATAATTTTCAATTGTATTAAATGTACATGGTATATTATTGTGTTTTAATTTTCATAAACATTTGCGGAATAATATTCTGGAAGCATTGTACTGAGGGGTGGTACGGATTACCAAAATTTAGGCACATTTGCTGCGCTCTCGTAGTAGTTTACAGTTTCTAAAGAGAGTCAGGCAATTTTAGAAAGTTAAAAAAAAATGTGGTACTCAAATAATGATTCAAACAATTAAAATGGGTTTTTGTTATTCTTTCAAAGAAATGCCTGCTAGTGAGTCTGGATGCACAAGAGGGCACACTCAGCATATGAAATTGGTTTATTTTTCATAGTAATGTGTATTACTTTAAAGCTCTTTTAAAAAGACCTGTCCTGATTTGTTTAGAGATTTGGTTTAAAGTTGCTTAGCCCTCAGACGTTCCAGCTAGGCCATAACCCTGATTCCAGTAGACCAGTGAATTTAGGTCAGGGCTTGTCTGTTCTATCACCCTCCTGTGTCTCCCAACTCGGCTGCAACTAGTGCAGCATTGCAAAAAGGAAGGGAGGAAGCAGAGCCAATGTGCACTGGGTTGGTCTCCCAGCCTGAAAACATGTATTAATTCTGTGACCTTGAAAAGTTACTTATGCTCTCTCGACCTCAGTTTCTTCAGTTGTAAAATGCAGATAACACTGTGCCAAGCTTTTAGGGTTGTTATGAGAACACGGTGGGGGGAAAATTCCTAAGCTAATGCCTTGATTCATACTAAGTACCCCCAAAATGTTAACCACTATTATGAATTATTACTTTTCATTAGGCATCGATAAGTGCTTTACAGGTACCTTCCATTATGTTCCTTCCATTAATGACTGACAACCTTTTGTGATAGATGTTATATCTAATTTTTATCCATGAAAAATGAATTAATGTACACAGTTGTAGAGTACCTGCCTTATGGTAAGCATACAAAAGTGATAGCTATTATTATTTCAGATAAGGAAATTGACTCTGAAGATAGATAATTATGACCAGACCACACAGCCAAGTATGTGGAGAGGCTGAGATTTGTACCCAAATCTATTGGTCTCAGAGGCCTAAGTTCTTTTATCTATGTGTGTACTCTCTTTTAAGGAATTAAGAGCCTTTAAAGGCAGAACATTTTAAGGAGGAATGTTTGCTAGTAAAACTTCATTACAGTGATACCCGTTTACCCAGACCATGATTGAGATTTTCCTCTGGACCATGACTGAGATTTTCTTTCCATGGGTCTTAAGTAAGATGGGAGAAAGTAGCTTGGGCTACTGTTGCTGGTAGTGTTCAGGGAAATGATGAGTGTGGTGGTAATGTACGTATGAGGGCTCAGTGAGACTATAAGCCTCTCCTCTATGATGCTTCCCCCACAGAGATTTTTTCCTCCTCTGAAATCTGGCAGTCTGTACTATCCATAGTGGTTTGGCATTTGCTCTTGACTATTCTGTTTGGGGAATTGTCACAGTCTTTAGCTTTGTTAACTGGGGTAAAGAAAATATCTCATTCTTCTTGGTTTCCCAATTCTTACTATAGTACATAGTAGGTGCTTTACCTTACACATGGGTTTTGTGCTGGAATTCCTAATACACAGTGCCAGCTACTAGTGATCCTGGGTTAGAAATCCTTTTCTGGATCTGCCTTAGAAAGTCCAGCTCTGGATCGATTCATTGATCCAATTAATTCTGGCTGGCTCTTGGTCCAAGAGGCTTCTTGTAAGGCCAACTGGTTGGTCATGGGGTGTATGGTTTCTGGCCAAGGCCTCATTCAGGCAAGATATTAACAGCCATACTCTGAAGGCCATGTCTTTCTCTCTTGCTTGACTGGTACTTCCAGTGTCTAGATTGAGTATACCTTACTGATTGTATAAAAATGATAGAAGACCTTAGTTTTCACTTAAAATAATGACTAGAAAAGATAATTTTCACAAATATTTTTGTTTGTGAAAAATTCTGGATGTATGAAGAATTTGATATTTAGAATAGAAGAAAATGGAAGATAATTGCTATTTATGAGACAACCATATACCTTTACTGATACAATCTAGTGATAAAAAATTTGCTCACTCTCTTCCAGGGCAATCATGACCCATGCATCACTACCTAAGAGCCACAGAGATGTCCTTGGAATTAGTGACACACTGATTCGACTCTCTGTGGGCTTGGAGGATATAGAAGACCTATTGGAAGATCTAGATCAAGCTTTGAAGGCAGCAGTAAGTTTTATTATTTTAGTGTTTGTCGCTGTGTGTGCATGTGTGTGTGCTTAATCTTGGGGTTGTGACTCTGTAAAGAGTGGCCTGTTAACTTTTAAAGATTTTTTTCTTTTCTTCCTACAGTAGACAGGGTATATAAATGTACAGGGAGCTAAGTTGAAGTACAGATTTAAAAGATGATAGTATTCAGAAAAGAGCCCTTGGAAGAGGTGAAGTTTGCCTGCAGGTTTAATAACCTATTTTTCTTATGCATTCTTATTACAGCACCCTCCAAATGCAAGTTGAACTTAGCATTCCAGCACTGCTACTAGAAATTGCTTCCTGAGAGATCAAATCTTCTGAATAATTAAATGGACCATTAATGAACCTTTGCAGAATTTTCAAGTGAAAAATTTAAGGCACCTCATTACTTTTCATAACTGTAATCTTCCAGGGATCCTCCCTGTTGAAAACAGTTGTCATTGACAGGTCAATTCTGTTAATATCTTTTTGTTAATTTTGGTGTGCATTTACCTCTGAAGAAGGTGAGGTTTGTGTTGCTTTTTGGGATTGTGTCCTTTTTTTCATAGCTTAAGATTTATATTGATCATGTTTACAATATAATGGTAATTCATTTTTGATGTTTTCTGAAGAATTTAAATTATTAAATGAATGTTTTTAAATCAAGTGTGATTTTTGCATATTGTTGAAAATAGCACTAAAAGCAATGGTTTACACTTAATTATCATAAGCCAAAAATCAAATGCTTGAAAAATCTACTGTGAAATTTTACTGATCTAAGGTTGTATTTACTATTTTTTAAAAAATAAACCTAATTATCAATTGCATTTCATTGTGATATTCCTATATTATATGGAATTAACTTGTATTCCTGGGCCCTTTTAATTCTCAATTTTTAGAGGTATTAGCCACTTGGTTGATTTTTATAAATCTAATTGTATAACTATCATACCCAAATCTTAGTATTTGCAGACTAGTTATAAATTCTATACAACATAGGCCAAAAGCCACATAGAAAGGAATAATACTTATTGTATTTTTATCTGAAACAGTAAATTTTGAGGCTAACGGAAGAAATGCTTGAAATAGAATCTTGTATAAAGTTTAAGTGCAGAGCGAGATATTGTCAATAGGTCATAAGTCAAATCATTAGATTTTTTAAAATTGTTTTTATACTAAAGGCTTTTAGTCATTTGTTTATCACCATTTATTTCAGTTAAAAAAATCATATCATTGAACTTAATAATAGTTCTGGGTTGGATGAGAAAACATAAGAATCTATGTTCTTATATATCATCCACATTCTGAATTATATGTATAAGTCTGGAAATTCTGTCTATAGGCAATAGCATTTGAGGCAGGTCATTCCCACTATGGTTTCTGGCAGACCTGATTTCTTGCCATCTCAGTACCTTAGGGCTGTGGCAATAAACAAAAACCAACCACATGAGAAAAGCAAAGTCTATTTATTCTGAGCTTGCAAGGGAGTCAGCTACTGTCACTTGTGTTTTAGGAGAGACTCAAAGGCAAACAGAACATAAAGAATTGCTGAAGTTTTAATATCTGTTGATATGGATGAGAAACTAAAATTTCCATATTTAAAACTGTCAGATGACTTAAATGGATAACATTAAATCACTGGTAGAAATGTTTAAAAAAAAAAAAGCTAAAAACACCAAAGACAGATAGGAGTGGAAAAACTTCATAGTGTAAAAACGAGAAAGCTTCAGGTATGCCCTGATTGGAGTTGTGTTGCTTTGTATATTCGGTCGCTCAGAGCTTCTGGTGAGCAGTTAAGTAGCTACCATTCTTTTAGGTTCTCCAGAGAAACAACAATTGTGTGTGTGTTTATGTGTGTGTGTACATATATATGCGCATATATATGTATAAGAGCGAAGAAAGATATTAAGGAATTGGTTCATGGGTTCATGTGACTAGGGGCTGGTAAGCCTGAAATCTATGGGGAAGCCTGAAAGTTTATATAAGAGTTGTCGCAAGCTTCAGGTAGAATTGCTTTTCCTTTGGGAAACCTTGGTCCTTGCTCTTAAGGCCTTAAACTGATTAAATGAGGCCCACTCACATTATAGAGACTAATCTTTACTCAAAATCTACTGATTTCAATGTTAATTACATCTAAAAAATGCCTTCACAGCTACACCGACTGGTGTTTGACTAAACAGCTGGGGTACCATAACCTAGCCAAGTCGACACACAGAATTAACCATCACGACCATGTTCTAGGCACTGTTCTTTATTGCCTGAGAAGGCACCATTATGTTTATTAGGGTTAATGAAGTTTATCCACAGCTTTTGGTTATCTGCACACACTCCATTAGCATACTTCACACCAAGATAATGATTCAGTGTTTATATATTGCACCGCCCACACTCACCCCCTTTATAGTAAATCTGACTCTACAAAGCGGGAACATAACTGGATAGCCATGTTCTAGTAAGGTTAAATGAGGTCAGGCTTCTAGGAGACTTCACTGAGTTGCTTTATAGGGTACATTATTCAAAATTTCATTCTACTCATGTGTTTACTGTTGAAATTCTGAGTGAAATTAGTATTTCACATCAAAGTCAGTATGTACTATCTTAAGCAGACACACAGCATCATGTTTATTCAGCTAGGTGACATTTAAGAGAAAACCTTTGGATGAGAAACTAAAATTTTGGAGCCAGTTAAGTATAACAAGCTCATTTCTTTTGCTGGTGACTCAATTTATTCATGTGTTTGTATTTGAGAGCTCATTTATAACTGACTTTTAGTGGCTTTCAAGTTACTTAATAAAGTTAGTGGAGCTGTAGTCCTTATACATTTTCTTTTAGTTTTTAGTGAATTCTATTATAGGTAAGAGAGAAAATGGTCCATTAATTTGGAATTTTGCTAGCTCTGACATGAGAGGGGTAAATATGAAAGTAACAATGAAATCTGGAATTTTATTCTTTTTAAATTAAGACATCCTTTTTAACAACAGTATAGACATTTTAATTTTAATTAAATTTTTTTTTTTATTATGATGACATTGGTTAATGAAATCCGGTGTTTAAAGTGTACAATTTATCAGTAAGACATATATATATATTGCATTGTGCGTTCACAACCCAGAGTTAGATTTCTTTCTGTAACCACATATTTGACCCCTTTTACCACATCTACCTTCCCTTTACCCCACTACCCTCTGGTAACCCCTAGTCCATTGTCCATGTCCATGAGTCTCTGTTTATTTGTCCTGTTAGTTTATTGCTTTCAGGTTTATATCCCACATATAAGTGATATCATGTGATTTTCAACTTTTTCTGTCTGGTTTATTTCACTTAGCATGATTATCTCGAGGTCCATCCACGCTGTCGCAAATGGCAATATTTCATCTCTTCTTATGGCTGAGTAATATTCCATTGTATATATGTACCACGGCTTCTTTATCCAATCATCTATTGTAGGACACTTCGGTTGCTTCCATGTACTGGCCACCATGAATAATGCTGCTATGAACATTGGTATGCAATACCTTTTCAGATATGAGTTTTCAAGTCTTTAAGAACAACAATATAGGCTTTAAATGACCTGAATTCCAAAGAGGAGCCAGAAAACAGTTGGGAACTACAAATTTATTTTACACAAAGATGGAAATCTCATACCCTATATTTTTATAAAGTGAAAATAATATGATTAATTACTAAGGTGGACCTGAAGAAAATTTCAGGGAAAAGGAAATTAAATTATAGTGCACTTTAGGAAAAAAAAATAAAAGAGAACAAAAATATTTCATAAAAATCTCTCCCAGGAAGTCAATATCAAGAAAAATAAAAAAGATGGTAAACACGATTAAATCAAAGTCGAATCAGGGGTTAACAAAAATATTCAAAATAATAAAACTTGTCTTAGAAATAGCCAAAGACAAGTAAATAACAAAAAAATTCTATCTCCAAAACAAAAGAAACACTCATTTCATTTGTTTCATAATACCACTACAAACTTAGGGGAAAAGTAAGTGCAAGTGCAATAAAAAAGGTAATTGCTTTTTGGATAGAAATTGAAAATTAGTTGAAGAAAGTATTGCTATATATATATTTTTAATAATCACATTTTATTCAATGTTGACTTGCTGCTCACAAAATCCATTTAAATTCATTCCATTGAGAATTGACAGATACTGCAAACATTCCTGATATTTCAAGTGTGTACCTCTGACAGAACACATAGCATAGCACTGGTGATTAGAGACTTCTGAGTTCATTACTATTTTTATAATACTTTATATCTCAATTTCTTCAATTTGGAAAAAGTCCAGGCCTGATTTTTTTTTTTTTAATTAGCTCAGTTGTTCTCATATCTAACTGCTGAATTGAAAGGCACAAATATAGTCTATCTTCTACAGAGAAAGAAAGGAAGATTCTGAGTGGTTCTGTGACTGCCTCATATCACACAGATCAAAAAACAACTTGCAGAATCAGGGTTAGAACTCTGGCCTTCTGGCCTCTCATTTCATTGTTCCAGTGCACCATTCTTAATCCAGCATAGAGAATTTTTAAGCAAATTAGCAAGCCACTCTCTTGAAATTGCAAGAGTTACTACTATGTGATCAAGGTCATCTTAATGAAAACCCTAGTTTCTAGTTGGGAGTAGGAGAGCGACTTTGTAAGATGGACATATGTTTATTTACAGAGATTATTTTATTTTGAAGAGTCTAGCAAAATCTAGCCTTGGCCTGCTCCTCAAGTGTTGATCTCTGAAATAAATGCCCTGCAGAGTTGGGAACAAGGAGTCTGGGCTTTATAGTTCTAACTATTCAATCACTAGTTATGGACTAGGACTGGGAAGGGGCAGGAAAGTGCTAATGGTGGGGGTGGCTGAGGGATGGCTCCCTGAAGAAATGGCTCCAGCCAGCTGATGGCAATTTTCTGGAGAGAGTAGATGGGTTCCTTGTCCTGGTAAAGGGGATCTGTTGCTTACGATGGCATATACTGCAGTCTATAGCATTCACTGCAAGCAGTAAGTCATGCCCTGTTCATTTATATCTAACAAACTCCAAACTAGTCTAAAAAAGTGGCTATAATGTGAATATTAGACTATGATGAAATTCCTTCCTTTCCATCATAACATATTTTTCTTTTTCAAAAATTATTTTGTTCTAGAGAATTCAGGAAGTTAATGGGAAGAAAGATTTTTTTAAATAAGTTTCCATTATAGAACAGTGGAAATCAGATTTTGCGAGTTCACACAGCTCAGGTGCTTGTTTTGAGCAACTTATTTAAATGCTGTAAGCTTTAATATCTTTCTTCATAAGTACAATGGAGACAACAGTAATTGCTTCATAGAGTTATTATGAGAATTAGTAACATAATGCATATAAAGTATGCATGTAGTCATTTAACCATTATAAAATTTCTGTGTGTATGCCTTTGAGTTCTTTATCTAAATTAGACAGTGTTGAATATTGGAATCATGACAAATAAAATCTGTCCATCCACCTTCTGTTGTGGTTTATATATTGAGCACTCTGCTGTTGTTACTAAGTAGCGCACTGGTTTTCCTGGTTGGAGGGAGGAGAAGAGGTGGTTTTTATTTTGGCTCAATCACGAGCTGCTTCAACCAACTGGTTCGAGAATTTTTTTTTTAATTGACTATTTGAGAAAGAAATACCAGAGGATCTATGGTGGTTAATGCAATGATAACAGAGTATTTTGAAAATATAAAGCAAGCTTAAAAGTTTAATCATCGCCACATAACAATAAAGACAATTATAATGTAGTAGAAAGGTTAGAAATTGTTCTTGTTTTAAAGAAAGGAAATTCACTGTTATAAATTTTTCATGTTGGA